CAAGGAACATCATTAGCCCTCAAGGACAGGGAGGCCTACATACGGTCAGTGTCCAGCCAAAATAACTACAGGGGCATATGCTGGACAATGGGCCAAAAGGATGTGGACTCTGGATCCAAGAAGGCCAAGTCCAGGCTGACGGGTAGAGAAGGAGCCACATGACACCCGGCGTCCAGAGGTAATGGGAGCTGTGACTGGCCAGCCTCACTAGCTGCCAACCCGAAGTCCACCCCCCCCACCCTCCACCCCAGGAGGAAGTCCTTTGGAGCAGCAATGTGCCCAGTGAAAAGTACTCGCCTTGCCCGGCCGGGCGTGGCTCAGCAGTTGAACGTCGACCTAGGATCCAGGCGATCGGGGTTCGATTCCCGGTCAGGGCACATGCCCTGATTGTGGGTTTGATCAATGACTCTCTCATCATTGATGTTTCTATCTCTCTCTCTCCCTCCTCTCCTTTCCTATCTCTGAAATCAATAAAGATATATTTTAAAAAAAAAAAGTACTCGCCTCTCCCAACTCCCTCGGAGCTGGGATGCGGAGATATGTAGGTGGTATTCTCCTAGGGATTTCTGGAAGGGTTTTACTTTCCTGTTACAGGCCCTGCCTCTTCTACCTTCCCCTCCCTTCTTTCTCATGTTTTGCACAATCCTGGGAATCTAAGTGAGTTGTTTAACCTGTCTCTAGCCTCAGCTTCCCCATCTGTCTGAAGGGTTGATGAGAGTAATACTCACTGCCACTAATAAACCACCCACTATGTGCAGGCACCATGCAGTGCTTTGCATGCATTACCCCCTGCATTGAGAAAGCCACCATCCTACATAATAGGTAGAGACATGCTGCACAAAATAACACCTGCCTTGGCCACCCCCTCACTGGGCTTTCTTGAGAGTCAAATGAGACCGTCTGCGTAAGAGCTACACACGTGCCTACTGAATCCCACACTCCCTGGAGTCAATGGGGTTGAGCCAGGAAGATGCCCTCATCCCACCAGAGGGAAGGAGAAAACAGAAGTGATTTGAACATAGTTGTACCAAATAGGAAAAAGGCAAGTGGCTGCCCGGTGACACCAGGTGCCTTCCGCATTGGTTCACTTAGGGGCCTCCTTCAGAAATGACACCCTAGGTGTATCCCCAGCCCTGACAAGATGCTGAGACAGAGTCTGTCTCCTTTTTGAGTCTTCCCTCCACTCACACTCCTGGCCCGTGGCGACCTCTGTGCAGTCAGGCCGTTCTTGGCGCCCACTGTCCCTGCAGGAGACCAGGCCTCTCATTCCGGAGGCCGCTCTCCACTCAGCCTGCACACAGCCTCGAGTGGCCGCCTTCAGGTCTTAGGGCCTCCTCATGTAACCTTATCCCCAGCTCACAAGACTGGTGCTAGCACCCCGAGTTCAGAGTTGAGGACACGGACACTGAGAGGTGAAGAGACCCCCCAAAGCCACACCGTCACCTTTCCGGAGGTCAGACTTGAACCAGCCTCCAGGCCTGAAGCTTCTGACCGCAAGGCCTAGGCTGGCCTGTTTTCGGCCACCTTAAGAAATGGCTGTGGCTCTGGCTCTCTCTGGCCTCTGCTCTGTATTTCCACGAGTGGTATTTCTTCCCTGGCCGTGTGTGCATGTGTGTGTATGTGTGCACATGTGTGTGTGTGTCTTTCTCATTCTGTTTATGTCTCCCTCTGTTTCTCTCTGAGTCTCTTTCTCTTGGTCTCTGTCTCTCTTGCTTTGTGGGAAGCTCACGCCCTTCTCCCCGGGTCTCTGACAGTTGGTCGCTCTCCCTGGTGGGTGTTTCCCTCCTCCCGCATCCAGCCCCACTAGCGCACCATACTGTCCTGCTGTTTACCAACTGTGTCCCTTACCAAACTCTAACCTCCACATCCACAGGGACCACCTGCCTTGCTGGCAGTTACATCTCAAATATCTAACACGATGCACAGTGTAGATGCAGAATGTATTCTTATTGAGTGAATAACTGTTTGTTGAACATACTGTGAAGAGAAAATGAAAGCTCTCCAACACTGCAAAAGATAGTGGGGTCTCTCTTGGAGGCAGCTGGGAACTGGGAATGGAAAGGGAAGGAAAGGAAGGGAAGTAAAAAGATCTAAAGGCAATTGTTCCAACCCTCATAGAACATACAGTTAGAGGATTTGTCAAATCATCTATATCATGTGTGTTTACTGGCAGAGCCCAGTGGCCTATGAGCTTAAAAATATGTGGCATAGTTGTTAAAAACTATTTCCACAGAACGCGTGGCTTCAGAGCCCAGCTCCCACTGTTGCTGGAGCTTTCTGAGCCTCAGCTTCTCACCAGTCAAGTGGGAGCAAGAATAGGACCTCACGAGCAGAGTAAATGCTCATAAGGACACAAGAGTCCTCGGTTTCCAGATGAGGAACTGAGTCCCAGAGAAGGATAATGGTGCCCTGCAGGGACACAGCCATGAGCAAGGCTTCCTTCCACCCTGGGCAATGGAGGACTCTGACACCTGGGGAGTCGGGCCTCTAGCCATTCGGGCTTGGTGCAGCCTTCAGCGCTGACTGACCACAGGACAGGGTCCAAGGGAGACTCAGCCTGCCATGCCAGGACCACCCCTCGTCTCTGTTCTACCCCAGAAGGGTTGGCTCTCAGGCCTGCAGTCACTGCCTTTCCTCAGCCCCAGAGCCCCCTCGGGTGCAACTGGCACACAGGTGCCCTAGAGCCTCCACTGGGCTCATGGGGAACCTGGCTTTGCTTAGGCTATACAAGGCCTCTTAGAAATTGCTTGTGAACAACAGCCAGCTGCCCTTCTACAGCTCCAGGCCGTCTCCCCATTTGCAAACACAGAGACTAGATTAGAAGATGTCTAAAGTCCCAGCAAGTGTCCTTTCCCGTGGGGCCTGACATGGAACATTATGGCAAAAGCTGCCTGGGCAGAAAAGGACAGCCGGTGGGGAATGCAGACAGCTCCTTGGAAATCACACAAGGCAGAAACAAAAGGTTTTATACTGAAATAAACTAGCGAGTTAGGGTCAAAAGACTTGATTTGTAAACTGTAGAAAATAAGTTGGTGGAAAAACTACCAAATATGATTTCACTCTCGAACTTTTCCTGGGTAAAGGGACACCGGGCCAAGAGGTCAAGGGGAAGGAAAGGCGTATGTGCTGACAGCGCTCCCCAGGGCACTCTAGGAGGCCGTGGCAGGGCCCAGAGTGGGCGGGCCCACGTCAGGTTGGTGGCAGAGCTTGTCTCCAGCCTGGCTCTGGGCTCTGCCTCACTGTTTGCCCCTGAGGGCCAGACATGGGCAACCTCCCATAAGGTACAGCCCCCTGGGATGTGAGGGCGACACACACAGCCAACAGCCTCAATGGGAAGAGGGGTTTGCTTCTCTTCTCAAGGCTCTGTAGGACACTGGGCCAATTAATGAACCCCTGTGACTCTGTGAAGTGGGTATCATCTGCCTCAATGACATGCTGTGGGGATTAACTGGAATTAAAGTGTTCAGTGCAGGGCCTGGCATACAGTAAAAGCACAATAAATGCAGCTACTATGCTTATTAAAACAACTGCAGCCTGAGCTCTCTTCTCAGACTGATTCTCACATACAATTGTGGGTCAAAAGAGCTAGTAGTTTCCATCTGGGTCAGTTCCACTGCTCACTTATGACACACACCGAGATACGTGGATTCATCTCTGGGCCTCCCCTCTCCTGGGGGACACAAGTTCCTACCTGCCTGGCACCTGTAGGGCTGTTATGGGCCTGAGTCCTGAAGAGGCTGTGTTCTGCAGATGCAAAGAGCAAGCGGCACCAGACCTCCCACCCTTCATTCACTGTGTGGAGCAAAAGACCAGAGGCCAGCCCAGGGGAGCAGAGAGGTGGGAGGTCAGGCCCCAGCCCCTGGTCCCTGGTCCCTCCTCACATGCCTTTCTGCCTTCTTCTGTAAGTATTTCCAGAATGTCCCAGTGCTGGGCACCACGGATGCAGAGTAAGTCACGCAGGCCATGCCCTCCTGGAACTCAAAATTTACTTTTCCAAATGTGAGGAGGGATCTGGCCAAGAGGCTCTTTTCATCCCTTGGGTCTCTTGGAGCTTAAAGCGGAGCCTGACCCCTCTGTGCTGTCCATCTGTCACCTGGAATAGAGCAGAGCCACTGGCACCCTGAAGGTGGCCGGAACTGTCCAGTTTGTTCATCAGAGTGGGAGCCCAGGACCCTGAGCAGGCAGATTTGCGAAGCTGCCCCTTTGCGAAGCCTCCTTCATAAGAGGCTCAGCTCCCACATGGTGAAGCCCAGCTTAGCTGACCATCCTGTTCCCTTCCCCAGACCTGACTCCGGGTGACCACAGGTAATCGAGAGGAGGGGTCCGGAAAGGGGCGAGGCAAGGCAGCCAAGGGGAAACATCCAGCCTCCAAAGGGGCAGTGCCACGTCCCTCAGAGGCTGTGGATTAAAGGCCAAGCTATACAGCATTTAGCAGGGTGTTTGGCACAAAACAGGTACATAATCAATAGGGGCTACTGCTACTATCATCACGGTAACAAATAGGATTAGGGGGACATTTTTGGTCCAACCGGCCTGAAAACCTGGGCTTCAGCATTTTTCTCAAACCACTTTTGCACTTCCCTGGGGCCCCGGGGCGTCCTCTCCTGCACCGGCTCCTCCCCTCACCTCCTCAAGCTGAGTACAGAGGGTTAAGGACATGGGCTCTGGAGTGGCTCCGTTCTTTTCAGCCATCGCCACCTTGGGCAAGTTGGTTAACCTCTCCGCATGTCACATCTTCATCTGTAAAGAGATAACAGCAACTCAGAAGACTGTGGTGAAGACTAAATGCATCGATAATAAACAAAGCACTTGGAAAAGTGCCTGGCACATAGTAAGTATTCAATAAATGTTGGCTATTATTACTACCTCATATGTGCTGATATCTTACAAATCAACATAGTTAATAAATAGCTGTATATATTTAATAAAATATAATTAATATTTGTATATTTAATAAAACATAAGAAAATACTTATAAAATCTCTAGGTATAAAAACAAACTTTAAAAAAGTCAATGTCTATTTATAGCTGAATGTCTGTCTCCTCCCTGCGCCTGAGACCAGCACGCCCGTCGCAGTGACGAGCAAGCAGCTGCCCACACGCCCGAACACCTCCTGCAGGGGCTGGCCTCGCTGGGCCTCCTTCAGGAAGGTCTCTGTGGGTCTGGCACTGTTCTCGGGTCAGAGAACAGAGGACAAAGGAGCCCAGGCCCTAGCCAGGAGATCTTAAGGAGGAAAACTTTAAACCTGAATGAGGCACAAAGTGTGAGGAGTAAGTCTGTCCCTTTCAGGTCTGAGACGCAGTGGAGAGGCTGGACTACAGAAATGAGACGCTGAGAAAGGTTCTCACAGTTTGGTTTTTATTAAAATTAAAATAACAAAGTATGGGAAACTGGAACACGATTCCTGTTAAAATAGTACACTCGAGGATCTGTTTCTTCGGGGAGCACCGTCACCGAACGAGCACGTGACAGGTGTTCTTTTACAAGACACACAGTCCCTAGTGTCCAGGCAGGAAACACAGCTCGAGGGCCTCACCTGGGCCATGTGTTGTGCGGGCGCCAGTGGCCAAGCCTGCCTGCCGCCGGGCAAGGGCAGACAGCGCGCCCGCTCGCGCACACACTCGGTGTCTCGAGTTTTCTTTCAAAGAAAGTATTGTACACGTCATACACAAATTAAACAACAAGAACGAGGGTCCTTTATTGCCACTGAGAAGGGGGGAAGATCACTTGAAATTTCATAACCAAAGGCAAGAACATAGCACTAGAGCACTTTGTTTCTGCAAACGCCACAGGCCCCTGCATCCTTGCCGCGGTAATCCCCGGGTCGCTGAGCCCGTGACAGAGGCCGCACGGGCCCGCGGGCGTGACGACCCGCCGCCTCTCCACTCCCGAATGCTGGAAGTGCTGCCAGCTCCCTGCTGGGCCGGTAGGCACACAGCACAGCTGAACTTGAGGGGCTCAGGACTCTGAATAGTGCAAACACTTAAAAAAATACATTCCAACCTCCCTGCTTCTCCGGCAAACACTTAAAAACTCCAGTGAGCTGGAGTATGAGTTCGTTCAACCTCCCGACTTGATCCAACAAGGTGCAAATGGGGAGCGTGGAGGCAATTCAAATGGCACCTGTCCCAATAATAATAAAAATAAGTTTTGGTTTTTTTAATGAGGCTAATGGCAGATAAATACACAAAAGAGAGCCTGGAGTGCAGACACAGTTCAAAAACAAGTAGTTCTGTAAGTGTGGTGTGAGCAGCTGTGAAGCACATGCTTACACATTCCTAACGGGGATCATGAGAGTGACCCTCCTTGAAGTTCACAGGCAAGAGGCTTCCAAAAGGGACGTCACCCGGCAGCAAAGGCATTAACTGTGGAGGATTCGGAAGAACATGGAGACAGAAGAGAACGGGGACCGGTGTACTGGACCGAGGGCGCTCCCGGGAGCACTGCCGGGGGCAGGCCTGCTTCTGGGGCTTCTCCACGCCACAGCGGGCCAGGCTCAGTGCCAGGCAGGGAGGGCCGCCAGGAGGTAGGCCAACAGCCTCACCGCCGCAGAAAGCAGGCTCCCAAAGAGCAGACACAGATGGGCAAGTGCTGAGTCTGGCTTAATGTTAGTCCCTAAGGGTTTCAAGAAACACCAGTGACTGTGTTCTCTACCTGGAGCTACTGAAAATCAGTTTGGGGAGCATGAGAAACGAAGGGTAGACAGCTACAGGCATGGACTATGTTTAAGAGCGAATGACACATAGAACATAACATTTCATTATCATGGACAATAAAAAGCAGTTCAGATATCCTGAAAAGTTATCTTATAAAAATATCCACATTAAAATTTTAGCCTGAAAGCTGCAGCTTCAATTTTATAAAAAGGCAGTCTTTGAAAGGATCTGGCTCAGGAATATACAAACATTACACAACAGATATCAAAAGTAAGACAGCTCAAAAAGCATCTTAGGGGATGTTGCAACTGGTCTGTCACGAAATAAAATTAAGTATTCTTATTGCATAGCAGAAAATGAGGTCACTTTCCTTTGCATAATACTGCAGCTTTTAGATGGAGAGATGCCATTGGGTACTCATAAGGGATAACTTTGGGATTCAGAGTCGGACTTTTCTGTAGTCCAAATCAGCATCCAAGTAGCGTCTAAGCTGCTTCTGACCTTGGGCCCCAATTCCATTTCATTACTGATCAGATTTCAGACACGCCACTGGCAAAGCCGCATTCACAAGTAGCTGTGGCCACCTGAATGGGGGTTGGGGGTTTATCTACCACGTGACCAGCACGGACTTGAAAATAAGTCTGCTGTGTCCACCGTGGAGAGAGAACAGTACCTGGTGACAGAGAGACATCCAGTTTGTTATGGCATCTGTGGGCAGTTAGAGCAGTTGGGCTGTTTGGTGATGACATACCAGTGTTCTAATCCCCAAGAGAAAGGACACAGGATATAATGAACATGGCCTCAGCGGCACCACCAGTAGGGGCAGTGCTTCTTGGAAGGGAGACATGAGGTGGAACCAATAGCAAACATCCAAAAGTAGAAAACAGGACTGGCTAGCTTTCAGGGAAGGGACTCTTCTAGGAAGATGACACACAAGCAATAGCCTCTCCCACACAAGAGTGAAAGTCGAGCTCCTACTTGGAGGGGGAGGGGGTGGGGAATTCACCTTTTACCTGAAATCAGAAGCTGTGGGACCAGCACCCATCAGACCCCAAACTCACCCTCATCTCCACCACACACACACACACACACACACACACACACGTGTGGGCACACCCGCCCCCCCCAAAACTAAGTCCCAAACAAAAAGTTCATTCCATCAGTTTCCAACCCAGAGCCATTCAGAGCTCTGAAACCACAGTCGCCTCCAGGGCCAGGCGAGAGCAGAGCACCCAGCTAAAGCGTGCTTTGGTCCCCTTGCAGACATTTCTCCGCATCCACCAGAGCTGGATATGCTGGCCTCTTCCCAAGGCTACTAAAAATTCTGGGTGCCTTGGTTCTCTCCTACTGTTTCACTGAATAACATATGCTCAACATCAGAAGTTTCATCTTCAAGAGAGTTCAGTGTCTACTGCACAATAAATATAGTGTAAGTACACATAGTGGCCAGCTAGCTGGGGAAGAGCCTGGGTCTCTAACGGTGGGGTGAGGTGGGGAAACACCAGTCTCCTATGGCATCTGCTTGGAAGGGGTCCAGGTGTCTCAGGAGTCCAAGGTCAGGGTTCACAGAGCCCCTTGACTCCTTAGGTGGACCCTGACATCATGGAAGGTTAAACCCCAGGCCCCAAGGCGTGAGACTGTTCTCCAGACACAAGACCTCCCCTCCTTATGTCAAAAAGTCCAACAGATGCAACTTGCTAGTTTAGGAACAGCAGGGCTTTAGGGTTCTTTTTAATGCAAATGGCTCTGTGCTCCTTCAAATACCCTCCTCCCTCCGGATTAGCAAAATTCTCACTAGCTCCTCCCTTAAAATGCAAGTACCCCTAAGAGAGATCACACATCCAGGGCCTACCACCATCTCCTCCCCCACAGGGAAAGCGAGGAGGAGGGGAGTGTTCCGAGGGTTGGGGAGAAGGTACAGGCCCTGGAACAGGGGGAGAGCACAAGGAAAGGGAGACAAGGGCTTGGACAGACTTGACCTCCACCACCAAGTACCGAGGAGCAGCCCCAGCTGGTACACTCCTTTCATCCGTGCCCATCTGAGTCACATGTGACCCCATCCAATGCAGGAACAAACCTATCTGCATTTAGAGGTAGGGTGACCTTTTACTTAGCCTCCAAATCAGAACATTTTCAAGGGTAAATGGGATGTTGTGAATAATTACTCCTGGATAATAAATATAACAGGGACTTTCATATCCTGGAAAAAATCCAGATGTAGGATTCTCTCCAAGACCATTACGGGCAGGGTCTGAAGCCTTTCCACTTTGGTTTTGGTTTTTGTGTTGGTGTTTGATGTACATTTCTTTCCTAGTGTGTTGCTCAGGGCTTTTCTGAAGAGCTAGTTTTCCCAGCTGAACAGACACAGGATCCCCCAGTGGTCCGAAGACTGAGCAGTTCTCGTGTGCTTCCCGTAGGAGAGACCAAGAAAGAGCACCCGGCTGGGGGCCAGGGCACCCGCTTGTCCCCAGCTCTAGCACACAGGGGACGCAGTGCAGCTTTGAGAACTCGCGGCTCTTCTGCCAACAGTGCCAGTGGTCAAGGCCGCGTGTGCGCATGGTCAGAGCGCTGCTTCTCTCGCTGGTCCCTTCTGGACGTCCCTGTCCAACTGGACCTCCAGCAGGCAACTGCGGCAGTAGTCTCAGGGTGCCCACGGCAAATCCAGGAGAGAGGTTTCTGTGATTTGATTTTTAGCGTAGCGGAAGGATCAGTAGTACAGGAATCCAGTAGAATGTCACAACCTGCCCTCAACTTAGTGAGACACCATGTTCTAAACACACATATACACAGCTCTCTCTCTTTCTCACACACACACACACAAACACACGTTCTCATGCAAACACTGTCCCTGTAGAAACACAAAAAAGCCCAAAGGTGCCACCCGAAGCTATCAGGAACCCACTGCTCCGGACAGAGGCCAAAACCCCTCAGAGGTGCAGGAGGTGGGTCCCCAGGCTTCACTCCGGACTCTACGCTGCAAGTCGGAGGAGGGCGGTTCTCGCTCCACTGCAGACTCTCCCAGCGAGTGGGATCCAGCATCATGATCCCTCTGTTCTGAGTCCCGGGCAGCACCCCTTCCTTCCCTCACGTCCTGGCAGTGGGAGCTGGGGGTCACAAGGGCTTGTGAATCACAGCAACACCTAAGATGAAAGGGGGAGAAAGTTACCATCTCAGCCTCTCCAGTTATTCAGAGTCCCAAGGAGTCCATGGATCCAAGACATCCTAAGCAGAGAAAAGAAGTCTGTATCCAAATGCTGGCGGGCCTGTGGACTCAGGCTGCCAGCAGCCGGCTGTTTCCCACTCTAACAGCCAAGTCTCCACAAGCTATTTGAACCCACGAGCACAGTCCCTGGACACTGCAGGTTAATGGTCTCACCCACAGCATCACACAGATCCATCTCTTATTGTAACAGTGCCCCTTCCCAACCCTAGCACTTAGCTTAAAGATGCTCAGCACCCTCCCTGGAAACCCAGGGCAGCTCCACAGCTCGAAGCTTGTGCCACTTTAAGAGAAGTAATGAACAATTCATGTCTACTTTTAGAAGACACTGGAATGAACTAGAAAGAACAGACTGACTTCCTGAAAGAAAAACTGAATTGCAGTCCTACCTTTGCCACTAGTCAAGCTGCACTGGAGCCTCTTTACCTCTTTAGACTCAGTTCCAACATTATTCAACGTCATCTAACTGAAAGACCCCTCTGGCGCTAAGTTCTTTACTTGGATGAACACTCCAGACAGGGCAGGACGTGTTGCGGTTTTGGCCAAGTTGAACCATACTCAACAGCTAACTTTGTAAACCCATGTGTGACCCTGACATCCCTCTGAAATGGACCAAGGCCATGTGGCAGACACTGTAGGGTGGCTCAGCCAACATGCCCCTACTTGCTGTCCTCTACATAGAGACCAGCAAGTTATGAGCGCAGCTTCCCAGGCTACCTTTCCGCTGGAAGTGCCATGTGACCCAGCCCCGTCAACAGGACTGTGAATGCAAGTCTGCCGGTGCTATGACTTTGGCTTCATGCCGTGTCCTGCCTGGAGTGCTCATGCAAGGCCCACGGGGCAGCAGAAGCTATTGATGAAGCTGGCAGAACAGAAAAGAGAGGAGAAGCCTGGTTCTTCAATGACAGTCTGAGCCTCCAGACCTGCCCTTGACTTCTTTCTGCCTGAGACAAATACGTTCCTTCAGTATTTAAACAAGTATCTGTGAATTTCTCTGGGACCTGCAGCTGAACAAAACCCTAACTTACAGGTCAGGTCTACAAGTACGATGGCACCTGGAGCCTTATTTTAATATATTCCCATGACTATAAAAATCTTCTGGCTAAAGATGAAATTAAGAGAGCTTTGCTAAGAGAAACCCCAGTGTATCCCGATGGTGAGATTCTGCTAAGGAATTCATTACAGGTTAATGTCTAGATAAAGGTACAGACATAAAAGCTGAGAGGTAGCAGAACCCAAGGCCTCAGACCCAGATGTGCTGCCTGACCTTGAGAACAGCTTGACTGCACCTCAGGCTTCCCTTTCATAAGGCAGCTTTTTAAAAAATAAAAAATTTAAAAAGGCAGGCTTCTGTATTGTTTTTTAATATAAACTTTCTCTTTATTATAAAAGTAAAATATTCCCATTATGGAAAATGTAGAAGAGTACAAAGTAAAATAATCTGTTCCCTTCATACAAAGAGAATCACCATTACCTTTCTGGAATTATTTCCTGGCTTCTAATAAGAACCACAATAATTTTCTGAGCGGTTTCAAGGTGCCAAGCAGGCGTGTGCTAAGTGCTTTCCAACTATGGTAGAATTTCATTCTCACAACAGCTCTAAGAGGCTTGGCATAATTTTATCTTCATTTTACAAATGAGGAAACAGAGGCTCAGCCCAATTGATTACCTTGCCCAGGGGCGCAGGGCTAGTGGCAGAGCTGGGATTCAAACTCAGGTCTGACTCCAATATCCTAAGCAGCAGCTACTCAACCCCCACGACCCAGGACTACATGACTGAGTTCACACAGGGCATATATTTTGTATCCTCCTCTGCTAACCTAACAATCTGCCACAAATATTTTCATATATTAAAAATACTTGCACTGTATAAATATTCCACAGTTTATTTCACTGTTTCCCTTCTGTCAGACATTAAATCGTTCTCAGTGTTTTTGTTATTATAAATAATGCTCCAATAAATAATGTCCACAAATCTCTGTATTCCAGACCACTTCCTTAGATGCCAAGATAACAGATTCACTCGGTCAATGGGTTTGAAGATAAATCACACATTTGCAAATCTTCTTTCCACTACGTCTGGGGTGAGCAGACAATAGAGATGGACACAAAATATTCGGCAGGTATATGAAATTCTAAGCCCTCACCCCTAAGCCCGCCTCTCTCACTGAGGCGTGCATGGAGCCAAGTGTCCCTCGCCGGCCCCACTGCCTCCCACTATAAAATGCCCTGCTTGTCCCACCACGACTTCAAAAAGAAAAGTGCGAGTTTTAATAATTAACCATGAGAACAGGATCACTCTAGGACAAAAATGCCTCTAACATCTTTTATCTTGATTAGAGAAGAATCTTAAATGAGGAAATAAAAGTAAAATAAGCTCACTGCAATTAAACCTTGTGTTGACAGAAGGTGGAAGGCAATGAAAACCCCTTTGAGCCCACTAGGCCCAATCTTCCTTTGCCCTGAAATCCAAACAAGAAGGAGTGCTTGATCTTTCTAACACAAAATACGGGAAGAATTCCATCAGCGTGATCCTTACATAGGCTAAATGAGAGAAAGGTCGTAAAATACTTAGGATTATGCCTGGCACATTGTATGTGCTCGATAAATACATGTTAGCTCTAATGATTCCAGTTTCTGGAAAAACCAGATACAAGGAGCTGGGCTACGTGACGGAAATACATTTGCTTGTCTCCCTGTCGATCCCTGACCTCAGCAACACCAACCCTGATCCTGATCCTGCCCCTGCACCTCACCAATCACACCGCACACACTCCCCAGGAATGAGCCTCACGCCTTACTCCTCCCGCCAGTCTCCTGCATGGAATGCTTTTTCCTCCAGCCCTGAACTTGGGTCATACAAAGGGCCTGGGGTCGGGGGAGTCAGACCTGGGTTTGAATTGTGACTTTGCCATTTTTTCGCTGTGTGACCTTGGGCAGGTTACTCAAACCCTCTAAACCTCAATTTCAACATCTGTAACATGGAAGGGAACAGTCCCGTTTGACCAGAGGGCTGTTGACAATATGTAAGCAAATACCTACACTGTATTGACACACTGCCTCATGGCGCAGGGAGGAGGCACCAGCAAAGGGCAGCTTCCTGTGTGATCGTGACCCGCCCTCCAAGTTCAGTCAAGCCCCATCTCCTTCGGGAGGTGTTCCCTGACTGCCAGCTCTCACCTGCCGTGCCCTAAGCCTGCCCTCCATTTAGAACTTAGGTGTGCATCATCTTGTGTTTCCTGTTTTGTGTAGGCAGCTCTTAACTTCCAACTTAATTTCTGGAAAGCAAGAACTGTATCTTATTCCACCTAGAAGACCAGCACGAACCAACCAGGGATGGCAATGAAATTCTAAAGCCTCTTGTGATGACTTAGACGAACTGAAGAGGCCCCTGGAACGCTGCTGACGCTCCTGCGCAGCCTGTCAGATCCAGTGCCTGCCCCACCCCTGGCAGGTGCTTGCCCAGAAGGCTGCCATAGAAATACTGTAACTCATGGGCCCTGGTCGTCTCTGCTGGGCCTCAGGGATATATTTCGTTACAGATACCAAAAAAAAAAAAGAAAGGAAAAAACGAAAAGATTTCCGAGGCTACATTCAGGTTTGCTGGGGAAACTGTGCTAACTATGCGTACCTGTAGCGGGCACAGGACGATGGAGTGGGGACCACGATCTGCCATCCCTGGAGAAGGCACTCAGTCCCAGGTTAAGCAAGCTTACCCCTGCCCACCCTGCGCCCTAGCGTGGGGGGCGTGGGGGGCCCACCGACCTGCGTAGCTCCGCCCCGTGCTCATGTTGGTTGGCAGCAGCGTCCATTTGTCAGTGGCGGGGTTGTAGTACTCCACCGAGGCCAAGTTGCAGGACCCGTCATCCCCTCCGACCACGTACAGGAGTCCATTCACCGCACAGACCCCTGGGAATCGAGCAGAAGCCAGAGGGCATGTGACAGCAGCGGCACCAGGAATCAGAACGGACAGGCGGCAAATACATCAGGATGGCCCCGGAGGCTCTCTCCCTCCCCTCACGGTAGCACGAGAGGGAACTGGCTCCGCAGGTCGGAGTCTGCTCAACAAAGTCCATACTGAAAACGGCCACTGGGCTCGGCGATCCCCCTTTCTGACAAGGTCACTTCTCTGCCCAGGGAGCTCCCACGGCCGCATGGTCTTACAATTGTTCCCTTTCCCAACTCTGTCAGTATGGACAGCGTTATGGGTACGGGCCTCTGCCCCCTGGAGTGCTGGCCACCGGTGCCCGCAGGCCTCCCGCTCAGCCTGAGCTGCGGCATGAGACAGCTCGGGGGACTTCACGCCCGCGGCTGCCACTCTGCTCGTAAGCTTTCCCCGATAAACCCTACTATATCCACACTTAAGACAGGGTTTATCAGTGGAGCTAATGGTTGTGTCTGTGATCCCTTCACGTAACCGGGGTCTAAATCCACACAAAGCTCCCAGGGGTGTGGTACTTCGCCCACCCTGATCTCAGGGGGAGCTGGTTTGGAGGCAAGATCTCATTAGCGGGGACTCAAAATATGAAAATGTAATTCTTGCTCATCAAGTCTTTAAAAGGCCATAGTCCAATATACTGTGTATTTTTTAAAAATCAGAGTAAGGGATTGATGATACTCAAAAGGCAGTAATTATCAGTGTTGATGAAGATGCTCTTAAATGCTGGTGAGAGTACAAAGCGCACCTCCTTCCAGGGTGTGTCGAAAGCACATGTGCCCCCCTGACTCAAAAATCCACTTCTGGCCTTTTATTCTGAAAAATTACTTTAGATGTAGGTACTGGTTAACTATAAGGACCATTTATAATAGCTAAAGCATTACTTATAGAAAAGGTGGGAAATAATCTAAAAAGTCCAATAGTGGATTAGTTACTTAAATTATGGTATAGGCACTTAAAATAATATCATGTAAATATATTTAGTGTTATAATAAGACAGTCATGAAAGATTGTAAAGTGGATTAAAAGGCAGGTTATAAAACCTGATTCAGTTTCTGCTACAAAAAATAGAAATAACTATATGTAAATGTGCGTACATAGACACATTTACATCTAAATTTAATTCTCAGACTGTAGATAGAGCAGCTGTCTGGAGGGTTCTGTAATTCCTCACTCAGGTGGCTTAAGGCCAAATGACAAGTTATGTCACAGCAGGCTTATCAGACAATGGCCAAATTAATAAACTCTCCCGTTCACAGTTTCAACAAGTCAGCTACAGATGGGTTTAGCGAACAGGTAATTTGGGTATAAAGGAAGTAAATCTGCCTGTAAGTCACCTTGTCTTTCCAACCTGAGAAGCTGGGCTAAGCCACCACTTTCTTCGAGTAAGGAAGCTTAAAGCAGACATACTAACACAGGGCATGACCCACAGGGCTAAGTTCTAAAATGAAAGTCTAATAGGGGTGCCAGGCTCCAGGAATAAAAACCTAAACACTCCAAGGTCAGTCATTCCTACAGAAAGGAAAAGGGTAGGGAAGGAAAGGCAGGGCGTGTAAGGAAGGGAGTGAGGAAAGTGGTTCTGTTGGAGAGAGAGTCATAAATCCCCTCACAGCTACCCCTGCGAGGAGGCAGACTGGTTTCAGGTGGGAAGTGAGAGGTTCTCATGACCAGGTGCTGGCAAAGAAAAGATAAAACCAAGTGGCATTGCCTGGCCATGTCCACGTAGCCCTGTGTGCAACAGAGCCACTGGGCAGGGGCACTGGTGGCAACCAGAGGGCTTTTCTATGTCTCTGTCCATCTCTGGGCACTGAAAGCCATCACCCTTCTCTGAGAGGGAAGGAACCCTCTGCATCTAAATGGGGGACCCTGTGGCTCGCTTTTGGGGTTCTAAGCTCTAGCCCAGAGCCTCCCCTAGCCCAGAGCCTACCAGCAAATGGACACACCCGGTCCATGATGCCAGCTCAGCCCCAGGCCTGGGAGTCCTCTTTTAGAGCTAGGATTTGCAGGGAGAAAAGACCCACAACCCCCAAGGGGAGACGGAGGGAGCAGTCACATTACCTGCATTGCGCCGGCACATGTTCATGTCTGCCACCTGCCTCCAGGTGTTTGTTCCAGGATCATAAACCTCGACGCTCTTCCTCACCAAGGGCCCGTCGTGCCCGCCTGTGGCGTACAGCTGTCCACTGAGGACCCCAACCCCTGAAAGGCAGAGCACAGTGTCCCAGCCTCAGGCTGGCTATAGTGACCAGAAACCAGGAGGCCTGGCATCCAGTCCTGACAGCTACCACCAGCAGGGCGACATGGGGAGTGCTGCTTTGTTCCCTTGGACCTCGGTGTCCTCATCTGGAAAACAAATATAATGACACCCTGCCGCCTCATACGAGTGTCAGCCTGTAAACATCCAAATAAAGAGCAAATATGACCCCATCTCTACTTAAAGAAACATAAAAAATATATTTTATATATGTGCACATACATAATGTGTGTGTAAATTAAATGGGGGCTCACATACAAAGGAAAAAGGGAAAAAAGGAGGGAAAGAACCCCACCACGACATTAAAAGTAGTTATTTCTGAGGGGTAAAACTGTCTCTCCTCTCCATCTGCCTTTCTATATGGCCTAGTTTTCCTTCACTGTTGTATTAGTTTTATTACTCAGCCTTATATCAGTTGAGCGGGAAGAGTTAAAGATGGAAACTTAGCCACACAGCAGGTGCACTGAGATCATTATTGTGAGACCCCGGAGACCTTCCCGCTGGTCTGGAAGCAGACGCCATTCCCCCCTCCTAGGTGGCAGAGGGGCATTAAATCCCTCACAGTGTTGACAGGCCTCAGCTGAGTGCCAGAACTGTATCACTTACAAGTTTTAGTGTAACCGTTAAAAATCCTTTAATAGAAGTCAAGAAAATAAAAGCCAGAAAGGAGGGTGGCACAGTACCCTCGAAAGAGCAACCTGGTGGGTGGGATACCTGGGTCCTGGCCCAGACTCCAACATCCCCTTTCTGGGCCTCAGTTTCCCCACTGTAAAGGGGGGGCTGGGCTAGATGAGTAGTTCCAGTACACCCGGATGACCCCCAGACAGGCTGCATCTCAGTCGGCTGGGGAGCTTTTTGAAAACATAGATTGCAGGGCTTCACTCCCAGAGACACTGGTGGGAATCAGAAAATGTACCCCAGGTGATTGGGATGCACAGCCAGGTTTCAGACCCAAGGACTCGATTTCTAGAATATAAGATTTTATGTCTTATCACATTTCCCTGGGCCTGGAGGTAGGTGGTAGGTTCTCAACAAATAGTGTTTGAATGACAAAATATGTAAAATCTCATTCAGCAGTTACGCTGGTTGGCTCACAGTTCCCTGTGGCTGCCCTAAGCCAGCAGCAGATGGTGGTGTTATATCAACAATGGCTGTCGAGCGGGCTAGGACAGTTTCCCACGGGTGTGCCGCAATAATTTTTAAATCATGCGGTACCTGACTGTTTAGCCAGGGGTGCTGATCTCTTTTTCCTTAGACAAATAAGAAAATGACAACAGCCAACACAACATTAGCCATCTAGTGTGAATGAATCTAAATTATACCTACTTTTTGTCAGATCAGCAAAAAATATATTTTTTGGTGTGCCGCAGAATTTTAGCAATTAGTTTATGTGTGCCGTGAGATGAAAACGTTGAAACTTGCTGGCTAAGGATAATACAGTTCAGTGTTCCGAAGGCGCCTCCCCCTCCGCTCTGCACGCAGCAGGAACTAGCATGCCCGGGGACCAAGAATGGCCTCTTTCCCCACGAGCACCTGCGGGCAGTTGCCCTGCCCTGTGAGGAAGCAGGCAGCCTTCCGGGCACTCAGGGGCACCACTGCCCTTTGGCAGCCTCCTCTGCGAACATTCATGCAGAGGTTTCCTGACCCTACAGCCACTCGGTTCAGGCAACCAGAGGTCAGGGTCTCCGGGTCCTCAGCCACCGAAGACCACCCACCGCCGCAAGTATGTGGATTCCCAACTCCAGAGGTGAGACCAGTGCCGAAATCAAGGTCCCTGTGCTTCCCTGCAACACCAGCAGCAGAGCTGTAACCATCCGGGTCTTCCAACCCAGGTGGGAGGCAGGGGTGCCGGCTGCCCTCCTGCACTTTTTGCTTGAGGCGTTCCCAGAGGCAACCACGCATTCAGAAGGTGCTGCTCCACCCCCGCTGGGCTGTCCCTACGTCCCCGGGCTTTACACACTTGCTCTCACACCGCAAGCCACAGAGGGTTTTTAGGAAGTACAAAGAAGACTCTACCAAGACTCTATAAACCCAAGTTACCAAAACAGCTCTAAGAAGGAAGAACCATGGGACTGGTGAATTGAATGGGCCCCATGGGAAGATCTACTGCAACCCACTCATTTCACATCCCAGGAACTGGAGGCCAGAAAGGGGAGAGGGCCTTGCCCAAGGTCCCACAGCAAGTTCAAGCAGACCCGGCAGGCCCAGCCCAGGCCTCCTGACTTTCATTATCCGCTGATAATGGGACTGCCAACCCATCAGGACCAGCAGAGACAAGCTCCCTGAAAACTGCGTTCCCAACGTACAGCTTCACAAGTGAAATCGTTCAGCTTTTTCTTCTCTAACCAGTGAACACACAAAGGTTCTTGAAAAATATGAAAACAGCATAATTTTGAAGGAATGCTGAGGAAGTGGTCATGTGTTTAGCACTATAAAATGAGATCACAACTCAGTCTTCAAAAATACAAAAAAAGAGAAAGGCCCAACATTGTGGGGAAACGCCCAACGGTTGCTTCCCTTCCCAGAGTCACACAACCTTCCTGCCAGGCCCAGGCTGGTCATCGGGCAGCACGCCCCACAGGAACTGGGACAGAAAGCCACTGCCCAGTCTCCAGGGCTCTCAGAGCCTCGCCTTTGGGCCTCTAAGATGATGGGGGAAGACAAAATGGGCAGAAGGGAGCATTGCTCCACCTCCTAGAAAATGCCAAAGGACCACACAGCTCCCAGTCCTCCCACGGGAAGTGAAACGGGAGGTCATTCTCTCCCTGCCTGGGGAGAGGGTAAAGCAGGGCAAAGTGAGGGGGCGATATAAGTCTATCTCCACATATGAACACTAATAGCCTGGCTTTCAATCCCCAAGACAGAGACATGGACAGGCAAGTTTTCACTTTTCCCCTGGAAACTGGGGTAGCTGGGCTCGTCCTACTTTGTAAGAATGAGACTAATAATTGGGGGTCAGAAAAGCTAACTTTGAAGTGAGACAGACCTGAGTGTGAATCCTGACTCTGCCAGCTCCTAAGGACGTAACCTTGAGCAAATTACTCAGTCCCGGGCTGACTTACTTTCTTAATCTGCTAAGTGAAATGAACATTGCGTCTGCATCCTAGGGCTGTACTGAGGATTAAATGAACCGAGTCACAGAAAGTCCCTATTAGGACAGAGCCTGGCGCATACCAAGCCTCACTTTCAGGAGATGCAGACACCTCCACAGAGTGGCAGGGATGGGGAGAACACTGTCCCATCCGCTTTCTCGCAAAGCGACCCCAGGGAAAGGTCAGCTGATGCGCCAGTGTGGAGCCGCAAGGTGCAGGGGGAATCGTGCGGACTGGAGGCAAAGGAGAGGGGGGTTAAGAGGTAGAATGTTGGGGGCTGGTCTCCAGACCCACCTGTGAGCAGATCGCACAGAGCCTGCGTCCGTGGCCCCCCCCCATACCTGCGCCACTGCGGCGGGTGCTCATGTCCGCCACGTATGTCCACTCGTTGGTCGCCGGGTTGTACTGCTCCACGGTGCTCAGACACTGGCGGGAGGCCCCATCGTAACCCCCAACAGCATAGAGCTTTCCTGGAACAGACAAAACAGCTGAGGGTGGTGCTGCGGGCACTGGCATGAAACCAGGGCGTGACTGCAACTCCACCTTTAACCCACCCACCGGGCACCCTCACCTCCATCAGAGCTCAGGGCCTCTACCCTCCGTGGGGCCACGACTTCCTCCCCGGCCAGGATAAGCATCCTTCGCATCTCAGACTTCTACTTCCTCTTACGTCCTGAGCTCCTTGAAGCAGTACTGAGCCTCCTTCTAAATAAGCACCCCAAACTCCCGGCGCAAAGCTATGGCCAGGCACTGCGGGGGCTCAGCGCCTTCTTACTAGCGAACCATGTGAGACCTTGTCCAGAACAAGGCTCCGAGAGATGGGAAACCAGAGGGCCCCAGCTACAGGCAGGCAGGCTGATTCTCTGGCTAAATGCTCACAATAGCAGACGGAACAAATATGAGAAAATATTCTTTGGTGAGAGCCCAAACCCTGTCTTAGCCACGGTTCATGCTCTGTCTACAACTCTCTCAGGCGGAGCGTGTGAACGGCGGCTCTGTGTGCACTCTGGGCCGACACAGCTAGAATTTATCTGCACACTCCCTTGTGACCTCTGAGTCCTGAAGCACCATCACCTATTTTTAAAATAAAAATACTATAAGCTCTTATCTAAGAGCATCATCTCTGCCTGGGGTTGGGGGTGAGGCTGGGAAGAGGAAATTGCTATTTAAGCTCTCTGAGCGGGGACTGAAACATTTTGGGCTGAACAAGGCTTAGAATGCAGTAGGAGGGTGTCGTGTGTGAGTGTGTGTGTGTGTGTGTCTGTGTGTGTGTGAGTGATGGGGAATCCTACTTTACCTGTAGACCTCAAACCTTTGGGGGACCATGGAGTTATACCAAAGATCTTAAACACTAGCTATATATTAAATAAATAGCACCAGATGCAAGTCTACTTAACAGGCTTACTTAAAATATTTTTTGTCAACATGTGCCTTCTTAATAGAGAAATACCAAGAATGCAACTAGTGTGTTAAAACCTGCAATTATTTTATGTTAAAAAGAGATTCTCGGGCTCAAAATATTGCCATTTCAGGACTTACTACCAACTGCCCTGCAGGGACTAAAATATGTTCAATTATTTCTTCTGTCTTTGAGCCTGGTTTTGTTTTCTGCCCCACAGTCCTCTCAACTGGCCCTTCTAAAAAAAGGAACACCTCCTCCCCAGCTCTGCCCTCACCTGGGCCAGAGAGGAAAATTCTGACTCAGCGGCTCCTCCAGGCGCCAGGCCGCTCGCACCGGGTGTGCTGGCTCAGGCGCAGCAACCGGCTCACCCAGGGGCCGGCCACTCGCCAGAGCCTAAGCCACCCAGGGAGGAGAGAGGCGTGGGCGTGGAGGGGACAAGAAGCTCCGGAGAGCAACCCCAGTAGCCCGAAGTCGTACTCCCCACAACACGACCTCCGCTCAGCCTGGAGCCTGCGCCGAATCTCCGAGCCTCCGCCCCTTTTCCTAAGCAGGGATTCTTCTAAGCAGCCAGTAGCAAATGATCCTGGTTTCCACTCTTTGTTTTTTTCTAGTGCCATTCAGACTATATACCTATGGTTAGGGGATGATGGGGGGGGCGGTCATGTGGAAACGACACGGAGAGCTGTAGCGACAAGGCCACAGTGAAGCAGAGTCCACTCAAGATTCTCCAACATTCTGGGACTCTCTGCTGCCCAGGATGACTCACAGCCAAAGAGCTTCCACCTCAGAACGGACAAGATACACAGATGGCCTGTCCGCCCTCCATGTCAGCAGGCACGCGACAAGATGGCAGTTCTTCCACAGCACAGAACACGCTCACAGGAGCCTTTGTCAAGGGGAGTACTTGAGATTATTACCATGAAGGTACCTCCTCTAATCCCCATCAACCGTTCCGACCCTGTGTCAGCTGAAAAAATACCCACTCAAGGTTTCTCCTTGAGTCTTCTGCGGGGATGTGCTATTTTAAACCCCTGGCTAAGGAACGAGGGGGGAATGGGAACAAAGCACTTATACTTGGCAGACAAATCAACTTCTGTTCCACCAGGAGGAAGAGATGGCGAGAAACGATTTATCCTTGCACTCGCTAACATGGCTTGTTCTCCAGGATGCTACAGTAATATGAAAATTTAAACTGCGCAATACTGGTACAGACTGAGAAATGCAGTGAGAAAAGAGAATCTTCTACTGATATCTAATTCACTGCATTCCGCACTCCTGAGTGCACACAAAGCCCTCGTGTGTGGTCTTGTGCACGCCCGTGAGACAGAGAAAGTGCATATGCCTGAAGGTACAGAAATTCCAGCTAAGACAGCTAATCGATCAGTGTTGTTCAGCAAAGTATAAAGTTTTAGTCCAAATAATACTCTATGCTTTAATACACTGAATTCACATGTTTATAAAACTCCTCCCTGTTAGCATTGTCTAAAGGTCTGCAGGAGTGTGCACAGTGGAAAGAGCACTGGGTTAGGAGTCAGACCTGGCTCAAGGACTGGCTGTGCTATTTACTAACAAGGGGCACATCACTTACCCCTCTGGGACGCAGTTTGCCAGAATGGAGAAAATCTAAATTCTGCGTATCTCCTTCAGAAAGGTTTTGGGGGAGGAAATGAGGAATTGGATGTGAAAACCATTTACAAACTACAGTGTACTGTCTAATAGGGCCCACACCTCAACACTCTCTCCCGCATCACCCACACACCTTTCCTGACTAGAGCAGGACTCTACCACCAACCTGCCCTGCAGGAACTGTTCAGTCCTGGGGAGAGATGCCCACCTCACTCAGGGCTCTGTTAATGTTCATATATGAACATGAGGACAAAATTAATTAAACAGTTACCTCTCACCCCCTCTACCTACTGACTCTGGATTCCTCACTCTTCTCCCCTCCGCAACCTATAACAGAACTATTAACAAGTGGCCGAGGTGACAGGCAGCTTTACCTTCTAGGCTCCTCCTAGTCACCTGCTTAGGCGCCTCGGGCCAGCAGCTTCACCTGAGTCTCAACTTTCCTTATCTGTTAAATTAGGACACTAGTACCTGACTCAGAGCAGTGATGAAAGGAATAGAGCCAGAGAACCAGGAGAAGAACGATGCCGGGGCCAAGACAGGCCACCACCCCTGCTGCTCCTTACCCTCCACGACACCTACACCCACACTGCTCCGCCGTGTGTTCATCGGGGCCACGAAGAACCACTCGTTGGTCTTGTAGCTGTAGGCTTCCACCGATGCTAGGCCTGGGAGACAAGAGACTCATGAGATTTCTATGGCAACAAACCTCACCCTATTGTGTCAAGAAACTGAGGATGGGGAGGAGTGCAGACCTGGGGGCTGGAAACCTGGGTGGAAACCTGCCTCACTGTGGTGGCCCCTTGGCAGCTGCCTGAAACACATCTGCAAGGACAGGGGTTATAACTGAACTACCCTGCAAACATAAATTGTTAAATCTACAGAACAGAATAAATACCTGAAGTTGCTTTACTAAATACCTATTCCAACACTCTTTTCCCTTGTCTTCATCTACCTTAGAAGCTGAAAAGCTGAAAACTTCCCTTCCCAGACTCCCTTGCAGCTAGGGGTAACCAAGACAATGTGACCTACCCAGAAGTCTGACAGGGATTTCTGAAATAGCCTTTGCTTTTTTGATACAGATGCCACCCCTTCCTGCTTTTTGTACCTGGGACACAAATATGTTGGCTGGAACTCTAATGGACATCTTGTGATCATGAGGATAAGGCCAAGAGACTCTTACAGAACTGGGCCCCAATATTTTTGAATGAATGGAGCAAGTCAGCAGCTGCCAACCTCTAGACTTCTTGTTCCATGAGTAAAACTAAATCTCTCATTTTTTAAGCCACAGTTTAGTCAGTTTTTCTAATTACAGCCAAAAGAAAATCCTAAAAGAATTATTAAAAAAACAATGTCCCCCCCACCACCCCTTAGCTCTCTCTATTCCCAGGTCCCGTTACTACAGGCAGCCCCGGGGGGGCTAAAGACCCTGGAGTTACATGAGTGAGGCAAAGAGAAGGCTAGTAAAAGTCACCAACTTGTAAAGACACAAATGAAAATTCAGAGAAATAAAAAATATTGTTTTCACATCCCTGGGGACCAAAGGATGTCATTTTAGTTTAATAGAGTTATTGTCTACAGATACTCCACCTGGAGATATGAGGAGAAATGAGATAATCTCTCCAAGTCCATGTCCACTAAGAGTTTCTAATTCTAACTTCAAAGCCAGATAAAAACCAGGAGCAAGGGGATGTTCCTGCAGTGGCATAGCCTTGCAAAGATTCAGTGGGGCAGGACAAAGGACAAAGGGCAAAGACTGGGTCCTGAGCCAGGTCCCTTCCTACGGCTGAACCTCAGCTCCCTCATCTGTCCAACAGAGGGTTCCAACTACGATCCTGAGACACCCTCCAGCTAAGCACGCTCTCTCTCTAAGTCTCATCTTCTGAGTAAATGGGTTCCCAGCCACTACAAAGGAGAAAAACTCTCTTCTGACTATGGGGTTCCTTCCGAGAGCCCTAGGAATGCCAGCACGTGGGCAGTTACATATTCTTGGTGTAGGAAGGCCTGGCTCCGGTGCCCACGCTGGGACAAAGGATGGGTATGTTCATGGGAAGTAGCAATGGATGGACAGAAGGCTGGCCCGAGAACTGGCTGAGCAAACCAGGGCTGCGCGGAGGGTGTGTCCCAGGCTGGGTCAGGACCTACCAGTGCTGCCGTCAAAGCCCCCGACGGCGTAGAGCAGGTCGTTGAGCACGGCCGCGCCCAGCGTGCTGCGGCGCTCCTGCATGCTGGCAATGGACGTCCACTGGTCCTTCACCCCGTCGTACACGTCCACCGTCCGCACGCGCAGCGAGCCGTTGAAGCCGCCCACGGCATACACGTGGCCGGCCATGAACACCACACCTGAGGCACAGACACGAGACCCGGGGTCGTCTCGGGCAGCTGACGGCTCATGTTGATGACCAAGAGTGGGGGAGCGGGCGGGCATGTGAACAGTTCACCCCAGAAGGTGACCTCCAACTTTAGATGTCTGGAAGTCATAATGGTATTCATTGGATTTCTTTTCATATTTGCTCTTCTAATTTTGTTTGATTCAAGCAAATACTTGAATTTTAGCTTGAAGTCCCTAAGCACATAAGAACTGACCCCAGAAGGTACAGCTGGTGGGGGAGGGAAAGGGAGGGGGTTTGTAACGCACAGATGCCTGGAAGCAAGAAGCAGAGCAGGGCTTTCGGCACCAGCAGCGGCAGCCGGGGAAGGGCAGCCTGCGCCGGGAGCCGGGCGGCTCACCTGCTCTGCACCTCCTGGAGGGCAGCTCAGCAATCTGGTCCCATCGGTCCTCCTCGAAATCATAGCACTCCACACTGCGGATCGCCTTGGGTGCCTGGCCACCGACCACAATCATGACCTCCAGAAAGACAAGTGAACATTAGCTGGGTCTCCCCAACATCCGATACATGGGTGACCAATCCCTGGTACACGCTAACTGCCCAGCGTCCATGGGTAACCTGAGATGCCAGTTTACAGAGCTACATACATGAAGCTGCTGTCCCTGATCACCAATAGGCATGACTGTTCAAGAAAAGTCTAATGAGCATCTTCCCACAGAAACACAACTACAATGTCTATGCTTCCCAAATGCCACTGCCCAGAGCTGTGTTTAGGGTATGTGCAGATAGTGGAATCTTCTGCAATTTCAGTGCCCTCAAGGACTTGGGGCAGGGAGACTAAATTTTATATCAAAACAAAATATTCCAAAATATATATATCAAAATTTGAGCATATTTTAGAATAGAGTGCAGAATTTGGAAGCATTTTTAATTTGATAAAATTACTTCAGAAATATTTCTGAATGCATAGACCACAGGGAATGCTTATTCATTGCAGTATGGAAAAATGTTGTGAAACACTGCTTTGTGGTAGTTGCCACAAAAACGTGTGTAACTGATGATGATCTGAAAGGCAGTGCTAACAGTACCATTTCCAAGTAAGGTGGTAGCTACCACTGACCGTCATTATATTAACTATGTTGTCATTCACTTGTCACAACTCTGTGAGGTAGGTATCATCAACTCCAATGACAAATGAGAAAAGTAAAGCTCAGCGAACACAGGTAAATTGCCCAAGGTCACACAGCTAAGAGTGGCAGAACAGGGACTGAAAGCCAGTCTACCTGATATAGAGGTGAGGCCGGCCCCATCCCTCTCCTGCTCTAGAGACAGGGTCCATGCAAAGACAGCTCACCACATCCGTGCTTTTCAAACTGCAGGTCACGTTTCACTAGTGGGTCATGGGATCAATTTAATAGATTGCAACAAGCATACTTTTAATAAAACAGCACATAAAATATAAGAAGGGTGCTATTGCGTGAAATACTTGTTCTGGTTATACACACACACATGTGTCTCCTGGAGAGGAATTTGAACATATTTCTTAGTGTAGGGTATAGTATAAATAAATTAATTAATTAAATAAATGCCACTCTTCTGCCTACAGTAATAGAATTACGATACTTAATTGTGGTATCCCTGTTGTGACTTTTGTCCTGTTATTAATAATAAAAATGTAGGTATCAAAGTTAAAAATAGGTTAAATATTTTAATAAACCTGTGCGAGTTCATGGCTATCCCATAATGACATCACATAATCACTCTCACTCACTGGCATTCCAAGGTACTTCCTTAAGTGGAGAGAATGGGGTGGAAGTCTCAGGACTTTCTCATTACCTGTAGCCTGTCTAACTTATTCCACTGGGTCTCAGGCTTCAGTGTCCACCAGAATCACCTTGAGGGCTTGTTAAAGCACAAAAGGCTGGGCCCTGCCCAGAGCTCCTGATTCGGGAGGTCAGCAGGGGACCAAGAATCTGCATTTCTAATAAGATCCCGGTTGATGCTGCTGCTGCTGTTCCAGGATAACCACTGCGTTAACCCATGAACCACAGGGATTTCCTGGTGATGTGCCAGGAACAATTTTTGCCATTATGAATTATTGTAATGCTCTTCACTTCTCCACAATGTACTTTGGGGGAGAGAAGTGATCATCAAAATCTGTGTGAGCTCACAGAAGTACATCCCCGTGGTGAACGTTATCTGCAGTGTGAGGAGGGAGACAACCATTGCTCAAGATAGAAGCACGTACACCCCAAGAGTCCAGATTCAGGCTCACCAGCTGCCCGTGTGGGTCATTCACTGGTCATCAGAGTTAGTCCACAGCTGTCTGTGGCCAAATGGGTGACCCATGTTCAACAACTAGGAATTTAGTCCTGACTTCTGGAACATCCCAATGAGCCCAGGACCCACGCACAGTCCAGGCTTAGAGCTGCTCCCGCTTCTGGAAATAAACATTCTCTACTTGACTTTCCTTCCTGCGGAGGCGCAGAGGGTCCACTGCCCTGTGTCAAGAGCAGCCCTTTTTCAGAGGGAAGCTGAATTCTGCACTGCTTCCCATCTGTGAGCCTTTGCTCAGATAGGCATCCATGAACAGATTAAGGGGGTGTTGGTGAACACAGCCTCTTGGCAAACTTCAGACAATGCCCAAGCCATCCAGGGCCAAATGACTTGCCCTGTATTCATAAACATACCTAGAACTTGCATTGTCCTTCTGGTCTTGAGTTGGTAAAGCTAAAATGAAGTCAAACTATTGCAAGGATTTTCTTTGAAACCTAATTTTTGGGGCTCAGTAAGAATCAAACCAGTGTTAAGTAAGTTTTTTTCTGCAGTGACCTCAGGCACCCAACACCCTCACATACGCTGCTCCCTCCCTTTGGGAATCTCCTCCCCCTTTCTGATCCCTCTGCTTTAACACCTGCTTATCTTTCAGGTCTCAGGTTACATGTCACTTCCTCCAAGAGGATCTCCAAATCTGAGTTCCATACCCCTTCTCTGAGATCACACATGTCCTGTGTTCTTCCATTAAAATTGCCCAGCACTGTACTTTCACTGTCTGGCGACCTTGTCTCCCCTCCTAGACAGTGCACAAAATGTATCTGCCTCAGTCACCAAGATAAACCTAGGGCCTTATGATTCTAGGTAAAAGTGAGAACTCAAATATTTATTTAAAATAAAGAATTAATGAATAGTAAATAGCACACACAGAGTTAAATGAAAGAAATCTACAGTATGGGGGGGAAATACACAGGCCAGAAAGTCAATTTCTTGGGTTAAGACATGTTAGACACCAGATTACAATTCTGGGGACACTGAGGAAAAACAAAATAAAAAGAGAGTGCTTTTTCCATCTTTGACTCAATTACCAGAAGAAAGGTTTTATTCTTTATACAAGCTGTAAATAAAAAAGGCAAAGCTTTCAGGAAAGCCGACCGTCCCCAGAAACCGTCTTCCACCGAGGGTACCAGATGGTACATTCACATTGAAGAAAATCCAACATCCACCTCTGAGAATTTTCATAGTATACAGAAACAGAAATATAGAAATACAAAAGTTTCAATGTTCAAGTCAAACAGGAGCAGAAAGACAAAAATAATACAGGACAAGGTTTTCAAAATAAACCTGCCTTTGAGCTCATAAAACCACTGGTAAGAGAAGACTTTTAATATTCAAAACTTGTGCAATGATCTGGGAAGAGCAATTGTGAGGTTTTATGGAATAGGACCATCGGTTTCTGAAAATGTGGAGGTAGCTTGTGGCAGAGGGAGAAGTATATTTCTGCTTCTCTCCTAAATATAAGAAAGCCAGTTTCTATGGCAGCTCTTGCAAGAAGCCATCATACAAGGAACACTACACTCAGAATCATGTAATTGTGCAGAGGAAAAAGAATACATTTCCTATCTTGAATACTAATGAATGATTGTTTTCATAGATGCATGGTCTTAGCAACCAATTAGACAAAATGAGTAGTCCCCAGGTCTACGTGCATTACAGCTCTGAAATTATAAACCTCTAGCTACTTAATGCCCCAGGACGGCAGGGCAAGAAGAGCCCTGGACCATTCTCTTTTGCAAGCCCTCATTTTACATTTTCAGAAAAACTTGGTCCCAAGGAGTTCAATAGGTATATTTGTTTCTTTCCCCAACATCCCTAAATCACAATTTACCAAACATTTGTAATGCCTTTAATAGCAATTGCTGAATCAAATCAGCCTTTTCAATGATCACTACTTTTAACATTTATCCTTCAAGGTAACCCTGATTAAGAACTACCAGTGGTCATATGGGAATCACAATAAACTAAAGAACCGTTCCAGGCTGACAATTATGCTAGACTGGACATGATTTAATCATGCTCAAGAATTGCAATGCACTTGGGCATCTCTCAGGGCACCCCAGGGTCCTACCCCCAAGTCTCAATTGACAGTGTGTTGAAGGCTGTAGAGGTTCTGGTAAATGGAGTTCTGGTTGACAAAATATGGGTGAGCAGACTCCACTGTGGGTGGAGGAACAGTCACTGGACAACTCCCAAGGAAAACAAGGTCATTTTGGAAAGCCAAAGGGCCATTTACGTTAGGAAGATTAGTGAGTGTGAACATGGAAAGACTACCTGATTCCTTAGGAAGGAAATTTCATTCCCAGCACAGCACAGCGGTTTCTAAATAAATATAAAATGTTCTTTCACATGAACGATTCTGACTTTACCAGTATGACTGTGGGAGTGAAGGTACATTGGTCCTTCCTTGTGATATGAAAACATCTGTGTCTGACAGCCATTAGGTAGGTGCCAGAGACTAGCCAGGGGAAGAAGCAGCAGGTAAACAGAGCAGAGCTTTCTGACGCATAGTGGATCAAGACTCTAACCCTAAACCTGTAAGTCATTAAACGCTCCACTAAGGTGAGAGTAACAACCTGGACTCTGCACACTTTTTTCATCAGGCAAGAGCAGAGTGTGTGTCCAAACTCTCTTCCATGACCGGTGAGCTGGGCAGAAGGCAGGCCCAGCCAGTCGGTCCCTCGGGCCAGGGCAGGAAATGAGACTCTCTCTTACCCTGGTGCGTGGGGCCGCAGGGCTAACACCAAAAGTTCATCCGAAGATGCATGTCGAGGTTGAGGCAGAAGACTTGTCCCAGTAGGTTCCTGAGCAACAGGTGCTCCAGGCAAGGACTGACAGCCAAGGTACAGAGACGGTGTGAGAGAGAACCAGCAATGCAAGAACAAGATCGGGGGAAGAGAGGAGTGGGAAAATGGGCTTTGGAGTCAGGCACACCTGGGGTCAAATATTGGCCCAGTCACTAAGTGCTGTGTGACCATGGGCAAGGCACTTACCCTCGCTGAGCCTCACTCTCATTACCTGTAAGATCAGGATAATAGAATGATCCAAAGCACTTGGTACAGTGCTTTGTAAATAGCACACACTAAATGTTAGCTTTATTAGAGCAACAACAGCATTATTACTATTGCTGTTACTACGAAAGCAACTGCTAAAAAACAGACCCCCAATAAATGGTACAAAAGGACAC